GCACCCATTCATTGCCCCGAAGATCCATCTGTCTCTCTGGTTTTCCAGCGGGAAGAGACTCCAGCCACCTAGGGGCAGCTGCCACCCAGGGGACTGTGACCAGAAGAGGGGCTGAAAGCGTGGCTGACCCTTGTGGGCCCGGGCAGGGGACGGTGACCATGGCCATGCAGACGTGCGCCAGGGCCTGGGGGCTGCGTCTGGGCTTGGAGTCCGGGGCAGCCGCCACTTGGCTGGAGGTGCGGGGCCTCTTTGGGCGCCGCAGGGCCGTGACAGCAGTAGCGGCAGCGGGGCTGGGGCCTCGCACCTTCTCGAGCGCCTCCTGCCCAGACACTATGACTTCGCTTGGAGGCTTATTGGCCCCAGGGACAAAGACCAGAGGGAGATGCTACAGGCCCTAGGGCTGAAGAGCGTTCCTGCCAGTATCCACTTGAAAAGACCCTTGAAAATGTCTGAAAATGAAATCCTTGCAACCCTGCATGCCATTCCCAGCAAGAACCAGTTCTGGAGGTCGTATATCGGCCTGGGCTGTTGTAACTGCTCAGTGCCACAGACAATTCTGCAGAACTTCCTGGAGAACTCAGGATGGATCACCCAGTAAACTCCATACCAGCCAGAGGTGTCTCAGGGGAGACTGGAGAGTTTACTCAGACCATGGTTTACCAGTTTACCAGACCATGGTGTGTGACATCACAGGCATGGACATGGCTAATGCATCCCTGCTGGATGAGGCCACCGCGGCTGCAGAGGCAATGCAGCTTTTCCCCAGACACAAGAGGAGGAAATTTTTTTATTGATCCCCGTTGCCATCGCCAGACAATAGCTGTTGTCCAGACTCGAGCCAAGTATCCTGGAGTCCTCATTGAACTGAAGTTACCCCATGAAATGGACTTCAGTGGGAAGGATGTCAGTGGAGTGCTGTTCCAGTACTCAGACACCGAAGGGAAGGTGGAAGACTTTACAGAACTGGTGGAGAGAGCCCATCAGGCAGGGAGCTTGGCCTGCGGTGTTACTCACCTTTTAGCTCTGTGTGTCTTGAGGCCTCCTGGAGAATTTGGGGTAGACATTGCCCTGGGCAGCTCACAGAGATTTAGGGTGCCACTGGGCTATGGCAGACCACATGCAGCCATTTTTCTGTCAGAGAAAGCTTGGTGAGGAGGATGCCTGGAAGAATGGTTGGGGTAACAAGAGATGCCAGTGGGAAAGAAGTGTATTGTCTTGCTCTTCAAACCAGGGAGCAACACATCCAGAGACAAGGCTACCATCAACATCTGTACAGCTCAGGCTGTCTTGGCAAATATGGCTGCAATGTTTGCAATCTACTGTGGGTCCCACGGGCTGGAACATATTGCTAGGAGGGTATGTAATGCCACTTTGATTTTATCTGAAGGTCTCAAGCGAGCGGGGCACCAACTCCAGCATGACTTGTTCTTTGACACTTTGAAGATTCAGTGTGGCTGCTCAGTGAAGGAGGTCTTGGGCAGGGCCACTCAGTGGCAAATAAATATTTGGCCCTTTGAGGATGGCACACTTGGTATTTCTCTTGATGAAACAGTCAATGAAAAAGATCTGGATGACTTGTTGTGGATATTTGGCTGTGAGTCGTCTGCAGAGCTGGTTGCTGAAAGGACGGGTGAGGAACGGAGAGGTATTCTAGGAACTGCCTTCAAGAGAACTAGCCCGTTCCTCACACATCAAGTGTTCAACAGCTATCACTCAGAAACAGAATTGTTAGATATATGAAGCAGTTGGAAAACAAAGACATTTCCCTTGTTCATAGCATGATTCCACTAGGGTCCTGCACCATGAAGCTCAACAGTTCTTCTGAACTCACAGCTATCACGTGGAAGGAATTTGCAAACATCCACCCTTTTGTGCCTCTGGACCATGCTCAAGGGTACCAGCAGCTTTTCCAAGAACTTGAGAAGGATTTGTGTGAACTCACAGGCTATGACCGAATCTCTTTCCAGCCTAACAGCAGAGCTTGGGGGGAATACGCGGGGCTGGCCACTATCCGAGCCTACTTGGACGGGAAAGGAGAAAAACACAGAACGGTTTGCCTCATTCCAAAATCTGCACATGGGACCGATCCTACAAGTGCCCACATGGCAGGCATGAAGATTCAGTCTGTGGAGGTGGATAAATACGGGAATATCGATGCAGTTCACCTCAAGGCCATGGTGGATAAACACAAGGAGAACCTGGCAGCAATCATGATTACATACCCATCCACCAGTAGGGTGTTTGAAGAGAACACTGGAGAGGTGTGTGACCTGATCCACAAGCACAGAGGGCAGGTCTACCTGGACGGGGCAAATATGAACGCTCAGGTGGGAATCTGTTGTCCTGGAGACTTTGGTTCTGATGTCTCACACCTAAATCTTCGCAAGACCTTCTGCATTCCCCACGGAGGAGGCGGCCCCAGCATGGGGCCCATCAGAGTGAAGAAGCATCTTGTGCCTTTTCTGCCTAATCATCCCATCATTTCGGTGAAGCCAAGCAAAGATGCCCAGCCTTTGGGTACTGTCAGCGTGGCCCCGTGGGAACTCCAGTTCCATCTTGCCAATTTCATGGGTTTATATCAAGATGATGGGGGGCAAGGGCCTTAAACAGGCCACAGAAACTGCTATATTAAAAGCCAACTACATGGCCAAGCGATTAGAAAAACACTACAAAGTCCTTTTTCAGGGTGCAAGAGGTTATGTGGCTCATGAGTTTATTTTGTATACAAGACCCTTCAAAAGTCTGCAAATACTGAGGCCGTGGATGTGGCCAAGAGGCTTCAGGATTACGGGTTTCACGCCCCTGCCATGTCCTGGCCAGTGGCCGGCACGCTCATGATTGAGCCCACCGAGTCAGAAGAAAAGGCAGAGCTGGACAGGTTCTGTGACGCCATGATCAGCATTCAGCAGGAAGTTGCCTACATCGAGGAGGGCCGCATCGACCCCAGGGTCATCCCCCTGAAGATGTTGCCACGCTCCTTGACCTTCGTCACGTCCTCCCACTGGGATCAGCCGTATTCCAGAGAGGCGGCAGCATTCCCACTCCCCTTTGTGAAACTGGAGAACAAATTCTGGCCAACCATTGCCCGGATTGATGCCATCTATGGAGATCAGCGCGTGGTGTGCACCTGCCCACCCATGGATGTCTGTGAGTCCCCATTTTCTCAACAGAAGAGGGCCTCTTCCTCGTCTTCTCTCCCTAAGTTCAAGTGACTGATCTGATGTGCTTTGGAGCGTCTGATCAAGAAATCTTTCATTTTCCACCAGACTCAAGTAGTAGTTTTATATACTGTGTATAGTTTTGTAATCTGTCCAGGTAAATGTAAATAGCCTAGTGAGTGGCAGATCATTGGAAGAGTGATTTGCTTTGGTGCCTCTGCTTTCTCATGTAGCAGTTGATGTTCAAGTTGCCTTGATTGGGACCATTGTTTTTTGCATAGAAAGTCTGGAATGCGCTAGTAACTTTTTAACTTCAGTGTACCAAGTTTGCAGACATTATAGAAGCTATTACTGGAGACTTGATAGACATTTTTATTCCAAATAAGTCCTTGTGGACTATGCCATTTATGGGAAATCCCAGGGCAAACATTTACATTTTATATACACTGAAGAAATCTTTCCTCCTACTAATTTGCCTAATCTGTAATAGCATTTCTGAGTGTTTTCCTTTTTCCACAAGTGTATTTTCTTAAATCTGCAATTAATAATACTCTAATAAAAACATTGCAATTTGAAAAAAAATAATAAACATAGAATTACCACATGATACAGCAATCCATTTCTGAGTATATACCCAAATGAATTGAAAGGAGGGACTTAAACAGATACTTGTATACCAGTATTCATAGCAGCATTATTAACAGTAGTAAAAAAAAAAAGTGGGAACAACCGAAGTGTCCATTGGTGGATGAATGGATAAACAAAATATGATGTAGACATACAATGGAATGTTAT